CTGGCTAGTCAAGTGCGTCGGCGCCAATGAGATACGAGCCTTTAAGAGAAAGGGGAACGGCCCGGGACCTTTTGTGCTCGGTGGCGAGGCGAAGTGGCTCAGAGATTGGACGGTTTTCGTGGAGCAGTTTGTGGAAGGAGTTTCGACGGCATTTGGCGATAACGACTGGAAAGCCAAGGTTCAATATGCGTAAGCCTATATCATGCGATGCTCCATGTGTGCGAGCTAACCTTTCTATAGCATCCGACTCGCGACACACCTCTATGCGGAACAGTTACTTGACCGTGACCACTACATGGATTGGCTCGTCTCCGGATTGGAGAACTCGACACAGTCAAAGTTGCCCATGTGGATTCTCACAACACAGATTTACTGGAAAGACTTGCTTCGTTTGAGGAGATATGGCCGGCGATTAGTGAACGCATTGCTCAGCCACCTCAACACGGTACGTCAACTCAGACCAATAAGAAGTTCGCCACTAATTGCTCAGATTCATAACGATCCTGACCGCGATATTCTCACCCAACTATCGACGAGGTTGACATCTCTACTCACTCCCCTCTTGTCCGCCTACTCAGACAACTTCGTGTCTCCTGCAACTTGGTTCAAGTACAGAGACGCTCTGCTCGCATCTATTCCAATCGATAACGACTTTGCCCAAAACACATTCAAGTGGATCAATGTCAGAAACGAGCAGCTAGTTGCATCGGCTAGCAACTCCCAGCCGGCAAACCGACAGATACTGGTCAAGCATCTCGACACCTCATTCATGTCTTTGTACAGTCCCGACTTGGCTACGCAGTGTTGGGCTGTTAGTGAAGACAAGGGAATGATAGTTCGCACATTATTGGAGTGGTGCACCTCGCCTCACCGACCAGGCACCGCAAAGGTCTACATCACTGCCTGCCTTCTTCGAGCTTGGGCGGCTGCTGGAGTGGATGTGACGACAGCGATTCTCGAGTTTCTTAGTGCAAACCCACCAACCGAGACGAGATCGAAGAGGGTTTTCCACCAGCTGGTGTCAGAAATCGTACGATCAGGAGACTTCCAACTTCAGGGGTACATATTCTGGCTCATTGCCCGAGGCGGACTGAGAGAACCGGCCGATACTGAGGCAGAAGGGTCTTGTGCTACAAGGCTGCTTGTCGACCTCCCTCTCCACGCCCTCAACTCTTCTGCTCAAGCCACACGAGCAAGTCTCCTGCGACGAGCATCCTACGACGTCAACGACGAAGCCGAGGATATTAACACAGCTCTCAAATGCATTCAGCATGTTATGGGACTTCCTCTTCCGCCAGGAGATCCGATGCTTCAGCGGAAGCCCGTACCAGTCGGAAAGCTTTGCAGGCTGATTTCCAACAGCAACCGTGCACTGCAAACAGAGGTTGGAGCCAGGCTCCTACAAATATTCACCAAGGAAATAATTATGACGAAGAACGGCCCCCAGGTCTCACCAGCCATGTTCAACTTCGCTCGTGCTGTTCTCGAGGCAGCCTCCGACTACTCGGTTCTCGTCGAAATTGTCAAGGTGGTTTCAAGAGCTTCCAACCCCGAGATTCTCGCCTCCTGCGCCGATACTCTCAACGTCCACCTACCGATTTTTGCAGCACTAGGCGTGGCCAAGGAGCTATTTGACGCGCTGATGGAAAGGTTGAAGGCGGTTAGCGACGAGCAAGGACCTGCTGCGCGACCTCTCTTGGCGTCCCTGGCCAATCTTTCGACTCTGATACCCGGTTACACGAACACTGCTGTCTACTTGCGTCAGCAGCTCCACCAATGCGACCGAAACAACCCTATCGACGCATGCTCGCCCGTATCTGATAACATGACAGCACAGCTCCAGGATGCTGAGGGCGAACTCCACGAAGAGATTGAAAAGCTTCTGACGAGCGGGACCAGCGTCGATCGGCCCACGATGGACCGCCTTTTCCAGACTGTCGTCGGACGGCTGGAATCTTGCTGGTTGAAGTCGGCGGACAGACAGCGTGCCTATAGCGCACTTCTAGGGAGGCTGCGCATTTTCGACGCTCAGCACTTTGACGTGCGCATGACTGACTGGGTCCATCACATCAGCGCATTGAAGACTCGCCCTGCGCTCGAAAACATCTACCCCCTTCTCATCAGCATGGGCTGTCTGACCTTGCCCATTATTCTTACCACGACATCCGTCGAGGCAGGGAGGATCGGTCTGAACCCGTCGACGCCCCCTAACAGCACCACGACTTACATGCAGGAAGTCCTCTCTTTGACGACGATGCCCCTTCCGGCCAAGACCGCATTAACACCCGAAGAGACCTACCGATTCTATATCCAGCAACGAGTAGCGCCACGTCAAAACCACAAGGATATGGTCTATCTTGTGAGAAATGCTCTCGTTGAGTTCTCGAGGCTGCAAGAAGTCGTCGAATTTTCCACACTACCACTCGCGAACCCCGAAATCAAGGACACCGCATTGCAATTGCTCAAGTTCCTGGTCCTGCGGGATCCTCCTTCAGTGGTTCAAGCGCTGGGTATCAAGAACCCTGAGCCCGCGTTGACAAGTCTGTTTGCACAGATTACGACCAAGCTGCTGCTACCGGATGCTGGCGACGATTCACCACTGACGTTCGAGACGGTTCTGGAATTGGCAAACGAGTTCACTCTCCCATTCTGCCAGCTCAAGCTCTCGGTTGGGCTCGCGGCGGATAGCACGACGAGCCCGGGAGGAGGCGAACAGGCTCTCACTCAGTTCGACATGTTCTCGAGGGCGATGGATCGCGCTGTGTCAGCCAACAACGTCATGTGGACTAGCATGCTACCGTACTTGAGCGAGGACATCACCGAACATCTTAAGAAGCAGGCTCATCTGCGTTTCCTAGGGCTGTTCCCGTCAAATAAAAACCCACCTGCTGCGGATCCTCTTTCTCAAGAGAGCACTCAGCTCGCGGGAAGTCTACTTTCAGTAGTCGAGGCGATCTTGAGAGGTCGTCCACCTGTCCGAACATCGCAGCTCACTTCAGGCATGGTCGAAAAGCTTGCGGAGCTGTGGGAACTCCTGGCAACCGACGATATCAACAAGAGAGACCTGCGCGCTTCAATCCTCCGGTACTGGCTCCCTGCCTTGTTGCGGTTCATCACGCTCCACACGACTGCAAACGAACCTGCGCCGGTAGCGACTCAACCCCAGGCTGCCAACAACATGAAGCCGCCCGCCAACGCTGCTGTTTTTGAGATTCGGGCGAGAATCTTGATTGTTCTTTCTGGTCTTACTCTCGAATTGGACAACCTAGCATTCCAGGACGCTCAAAATGGCCGACCGCTTGGCCAACAGGTTTTCGATCTGGCCCTACTGCTAGTCGATACTTTGCCGGACGACGTACGCCTGCAGTGCGTGCGAGTCCTACTTACAGGCGGCACCATGCAGAATCCAGCATCTTCAGATGCCCGTCTCCGATACCTATTCAGCCACATGCCCCCACCGACGGAGCAGTTTGTGCTTGCTCATAGACAGCAATCTACTACACAACCAAACGGGCCGCAGAGAATCAAGATGCCGATCTCGATGCAAGGCACCGATAAATTAACGCCGTTCATCTACCGCAAATGGGAGATGCTCAGCGAGCCAACTCCCAACGTTGGAGAAAACGATACGGCTCTCAGTCTCACATTATTTGAGGCGATTAAGATTCAGTAAACAAATTGGAGGAAGTGTCAGGGATACACACACAAACAAACACACACACACATACACACACAAACATTTCATTACTGTCATGCATACGTTGGAAGAAAGGCGGGGTGTTCATTTATAGATACCATTACTGGTCCAAATCGGGATTGTAGAATCAGGCAGGCGACGGGGGAGCAACGAGAAAAAAATCCTTTTTTGATACCAGGATGGAAACTCAACTGTTGGTCGGCGTCGGCTGGCTTGGAAAGATTGAAGGAGAGGGATGAAGGGGGTCGACATGACTGTATTAGTGAGACGGGCATAGGAGGGGTTTTCCTTTTTCATCATCATGACAACAATATTATTATTCAAACGTGTTAACGACGGTTTTGGCCGTTGCAGATTGCGTGAGGTTGTGATTTCCTTTGACAGTGCGGTGGCTGGAAACTATGATGCTCCAGGCATCCAATATAAATGCGGCATGCGCCTAAATCACTCCAAGTAAGACGTTCTTACTGTGCTTTCTGTACCAGCAACTCTGGAATTCCTTTACACCAAACGCACTGCTTTTGGCGGTTGAAATTCATCCTTTCTTTCCCTTCAGGCTCTCCAAATATCAAGGGACGTATTGGCTTTTCGCCCACCTTGATTGATATCGAAGAACTCGGCTGGATTCATGTAGCTAGCCTACCTTATCTCCAAACCATATATGGCGATGACAACGAGATAGATGAACATGACGGCTTGAGCCCGTAGAAGCGTGGGGCGTTTTTGACCAGACACGTGTCCATGGCGCTGGGTGGTTATATGGAGATGCAAATCATTTTTTTGACGAAAGCCTCTAAGATTCCCTCCCTTTCGGTGGTGTGGTTGGAAAGTTATCAAGAAGGTAAAGTCGGACGTTTCGAGCTGGCCTCAGAGATTGTCTGCAACACAAGGTATGATTCACTTCCAATATGTTGCCGCTCTCGTATATATTTGCATATGCATACAGAGGCCAGCGATTCTATTGGATGATGGCAACATGGCTGTCTCCTTCAGCTCGCCAATAAGGAATCCATCTCGATGGCTTGCTCACCGAGATATTTAGCCTCTCGGGCCAAGCATAATCTCATGCTCTTCACTGCTCTGTGAGTGGTACGGCTACGAGACTTGCTGCAATTCGCGTGTACTATCACAACTCCTGCATCAAACTATCGTCTGCCCCATTCTGTAGTCCTTCCAACGGATCCTCGTTACGGTTGTAGACCTGACCCTGTTCACAATCTGGCACTCACTGTAACATCCGCTTAGGCAATGCTACCCATATCGAATCCCCCTGCACTCTTCTGGTCTCTTTCCTCCTCTAGTCTCATTCCTCCTCCACCTGCCTGATCCGATCCGGGTTCACATTCTTGATCACCTTACTCTGGAACTGCAAGGCGAAGATGCTGTCCCTGTGCAAGAACGCTTCAAATGCCCCATCCAGGCAACTCTCCACGGCTTTCTGGTACGCAGGTCCCATGGTATGTCCCAGCCGCTCCTTAGTCTTGGTTTTGAAGATATCCTGCATGGGCCCGACGTTGCGACTGGAGAGCATCCCTTCCTGCTTTAACCTTGCGTTCCTCATCGACAAGGCGGTTTGCCATACGCCGATTTCCAGGAGAACCACCCCCAGAGAGTACAAATCGTGCGTCTTATTGAAACGCACATTCGGCCGCGACCCCTGGCGGTCCGGGTGGCGATACACGTTCCGGGCGAGGTCATCGTCGGCCGTCATGTTGGTCTCAGCCGTGTCGGGCCGCGAGTACTCAAAATTTACGAGATACGGCCGAAGATACATGCAGCGGTCGTTCTCATCGAAGAAAAAGAGGATCGATCTGCTGCTAATCTCCTTATGGAGCCAGCCGTTGGCATGAAATGCCGCGATGGCGCGGGTGATGATTAGGGCAATGTGGAAGCGCTGGGACAGAGACGGAGCGCCTGACTTCTTCGAGAGGATTGTCTGCAGGCTGACCGGTTCTCGATCGGACGCTCCATCCGGAAACCCGAAAGAGAAGGTGAATTGATGCCCGCCTGGGTTATCCACACAGCTCTGCAGAGGAAGCGTATGGAAATCGTGCACACCGGCCGCTCCCAACAGAGCTGCTAGTTGGCGCAGGGCATCCTTGGCCCTGGTGACCTCCTCTCCGGACTGAGGATAACTCTTCTTTTCCAGTCGCCTCCTAGGAGGCACCTCAGTAGGCAGCGTACCCATCGATGGCACATCGGGGTCAGCTGGAACGGTAGGCAAAGTGGCATCCCCTGTCAGCAGCGAAATTTTGACATGGGGGACGAATGCTTCCTGATCTGAATGCGGATCGCTCTTGATCGTGGACTCCAACGCTCGCCGCGCATCGTTACTGACGAACAGACCACCAACGATCATGGGTTCGAAAACTTTCAGCTCGCTGTTCCACTCCTGAAAGCTTTCAGTAGCCTTTTGAAGCGTAGAACGTTTAAACAAGGCCCATTTCCAGGCCCTGAGACTGAAGATGGATTGGTTTTTCAAGGCCGCTGGCGAGGAGCCGGGCTGGAGCAAAGGTGGAGGGGGAAGAATGTCGTTCAAGTTCATTGAGAGTAACGCTTCGCGAGTGGGCTCTTCCCTGGTCGAAGAATCACTCTGCTTACGGTACTCCTCGTCTTCTGCGTGGACAAGGTCACGGTAGCGCGCGAGAGCCTGTCCAAGGCAGCTGATAATCTCGTTCACCTGGGTCACCAGGACCTCCTGCGATGGGATTGTCAAATTGGCGTCCACATAGGCTAGATAAGCACCCAAGGCTGCGTGTCCCGTGCCGGAGCGACTGTGCAGTTCAGAGAATGGTACGTACTTCGATCTCAGACAACGCCTCTGATGTTCCCACTCGTAAAACGGCGATGAAGAAATACTTGAACATTCGCAAGTACAGACATTGGGTGCGGAACTTGATGAGCAGCTGGTGATTCTCTTCTCTATAGTGCTGTGCTGACATTCCCAGACGGTATATGCCTTTGGCCAGGTAGTAGACGTCCTTGTACACGGAAAGGGCCAGGCCAGCGGCTTCCATTGTGAGCACTCCGGTATCTTGGATGATTTTGGTCGATGTTTGGAACGCGGAGAGGGTCACCATCCAACGCTCGTGGCGTTCCAACGGAGAACCATATTGGGCGCGGCGTGCGCGGTATTTGTAATGCGGCACAAAGGTCACAGGAGCCGTGAACCCCCATGCGGTGTCACCATATAGGCAGTTAAAGAGTACACGAAATCCAATGGGGGACCGGATAGGGCGCGTTCACGAGGCATTGGGCATCCATGTAGTGGATCCACGTACATTCAATATATGTAAGCATACATGAAGTCCAATGTAGAGGGGGCCTCACATATCATGCTAATTGGTCTAGTACCTCAGCTCGCAGCCCAGCCTGCAGCCTCTCGACCCTTGAAGGCTTGGACACGAATAGCCTTCCCGTGAAGTGAACGGAGAGAGCCAAGTTAAATGGAACAAAAGCGACACGCAGTCTGCTGACCCTTCAAGCCTCCAGGGTATGCAGCTCATGGGAGGGCGGGCGTGGCCGCCGGGCATAGATTGTCGGGAAACAGACCCTACTGATCTTTATGCGTTCCATTCTGCGCCGCTGACGGTCGCCGTGGTCATAAGGGGATCCCCGCGCCTTAGGGGGACGATATCTACTCGTCTCCCAGTTTCTCTTGTTCTCGAAGCAGCTAGGCGCGCATGCCACTCGACGTCGGTGTTCGTGAACCTCGATACGTGACCAGCACTGTACTTGTCTCCTCTTGTCGCTATCATGTCGAAGGAGTCCAATATTGAGGCTTGGATTCGAGTTATGAATCAGGGTACAATTCTCTCTAATCTCAATGTCAAAGAATTTGGGAAACTACTCAAGTTGTATCCGAGATTCGTTGCGACTGGAATGGAATCTCTCGACAAGTTGCGTTTCCGGGGTATAACTCCCCTTGAAGCACACCACATTCAGGAAGAAAACGAAGAAGGAGGAGAAGAAGATGACAAAGAAGAAAACGACGAAGAAGACGACGACGACGAAGAAGAAGAAGAGAAGTTTCAAGTTGACCTGCGTCGAACCATCATCCATCTCAGTCGCTGGCTTTAGTATGAAGTCCCCGCCGTTCTGTGTTAAGTACTAGGCCCAAATGGCTCGTTGACCAGTCCGTAGTAAACGCTGTCGCGGTGATCAGCGAGATGTCTGCAAGTCCCACCACAAGTACCTGAAGTCATATCTCTGTACAACAATTGAGGCCGCTGTCAAGGAAGCCTTCAGACTTTTCGACGCGAACAAACATGCTTGTGCCGTATCTAAGCTTCAAAAGCTACTCGAAAAGAGCGAGGGACCCGATTGTACGAAATTTGAGTTTGCCATCTTGATCCTTTCCGCAAAGTACCCGAACCAGGTGCCATACTGCTCACCGGAGCTGCAAAACTGCATCACCAAGGAGTTGCCCAAAACCGTTGCCGACGAAGACAAGTGGGGAAAAGAAGAATACGCTCGGAATTACGCCCTATTCCAGTCTAATTGTGATACATTAATGGACAACATTCACAAGTCAGAACAAAAAACTACGCTCCAAGACGTCGAGAAGGTAGCGTATGTGTTGGACCACTGGAGTGTCCTGAAAGGTATTCGTACGCGGAGCAGAACGGTAATCTCATAATATCTTAGTAACGCATGCAGACACCTACATTGACGACCTGGACTCTGAAGATGACCAAGGGCAAGTAAAATCGACGGCTGGTAGCAAGCTCATTCACAAGTTTTCGGGACGCCTGAAACACAAGTCGCTCCCAAAAGATGCTTTTGCCGTGAAAAGCATTTCAGAGTATGATAGCGCTGTCGTCAGATATCTGAGTGAGATTCGAATTCTGGCCACCGAAAATATTTCTAAGGTAATGTCCGCCAAATTTTGTTACCAAGACCGCATAATTTGACTCACCGCGTACCCCAGGACCATATTGTTGCATATTACGGTTGGTCTTTTTGGAACGGCCATTTCCGCATCGCTATGCAGCTGATGTACAAAGATCTGGAGGACCTACTGACACGAAGGAAAAAGCTCATAAGCTGGGGAGAAGCAGTCACAAAATGGAAGGATCCGAAAAAACAAAAAATTAAGTGGCCGCTAGTTCAATTACTAAATGGCTTGCGTACCTTACATGCCGAGGGAATCACGCACCGGGATCTCAAGCCGCGTGTGAGTAAAACAATTACTTTCCATGGGCATTTACTCTGTATTCCAGTGCATAAGCTGACACATTTGATAAACGGTAAGAATATACTGCTTGACAGTGAGTACAATGTGAAGATCGCGGATTTCGGCGTCTCCAAACAGGCCCGTAACCGCGTGCAAACCACAATGGCTACAAACACTGGCACAACTGGATACACAGCGCCCGAAGTTCTTCGAACTGGAAAGCAATTCCATGGCAATTACACCCCGAAGGCGGATCTCTGGTCGCTGGGATGTGTCGTATATAGGATGATCAAGGGGGAACAAATCTTGGAGCACGACGATGAGACTAAAAGAGAAGCTGAGAACAAAGTCAAAGCCTTAGCTGAGAATGATTGGGAAGGGTTTGAGAGCCCAGAGACAAACTTGTTGAAGAAGCTGCTTTGCATTGATCCGGAGAAGAGGTCGGCCGCCAAGTATGCACTGGAAAGTTACCGGAAGTCAAGTGAATTGTGAGATGTCAGCTGCAGGCAGGCCAGGGTCTCTCGTTAAGGTTCCGTAAATGGATTTATTGCTCAAAGAATGACTTGAATGACTATCTGATTAAAGGATTGATCAGCTCAATAATCAAGTACACGAAATGCTTCCTTAATAGTCAAGGAGAGCGGTGAATGAGTAAACATTTAAAAGGGGCTTTAGGCAAATCGGGAATCGAGAAATTTCAACGGAGAACCAACAGCTCAGTCTACTTATGTGAAGGGTTTAGCAAGATTCCCAGCGAGGCACCCAGCGGAAGAGGGCAGCATCTATTACTATGTAGGCAAAGAGGCGGAACATGTCGACAATGAGGAGTGATTGGCCCGCAGTGCGCCAAGCTGTGATGAATTATATACATGCTCGGCGCCCAGTTCTTACCACAACTGTCCGCAAGTACTTTGATACATAGCCAACGCTAGTCCTCCTCCAGAGACATGAACGAGGCTCTCGCCCCGCACTATGATATCTCCCGCAGTAGATTCCATTTTCAACCAGAGCACCCTACCCCGCCTTGGATAAACGATTTGAATAAAGCTATTTGGTTGATAGTTTCAGTCCAATTCGAGGTCTCTCCTCATCGAACTCGTATTATATTCAATAAGTCGAGACTTTCTTAGTCGTTATCACTACTCCATCCCGCAGACACTGACCTTTGTGTGTCCAGGGCGTTCGACAGAAGATCTGCGACACTAAAATCAAGATGTCAAACCTGGAAGTTGCTAGATCTTTGGAGCTATTGTGGAGGCGACCTAGCTTTGACGTGATCACCGGTGATGACTTCCAGGCATTTCTTGAAGTATACTGTCATCACATTCCGAATCCGATGCGGGACCTTGACACGTTTCGCTTCGAAAAGATACCCACAGCATGCGCCTCGCGCGATCCCAAATACCTCGAACGTCATGAATTGCTTCGCCTCGCCAAATGGATGTAGTAAGTCCCAAATTGATCCTACTTCTGTCATGTTTCTGGAATTTCGTGGCTTCAGTTCTTATACTTTCATAGCTCAGCTGGCCATAGGCTCGTGACACGATCTCACCGACGTATTCCTGTGGCAGCAGCTTCTAATCTTGCTAAAATGAGGCGGAACTGGTCGGAGAAGGTGGTGGACTTGACGCGTGAAGCCTTCAAGATCTATTCCAAGAACAAAAACATTCCATGTGCCATCGAAATTATCAAATCACTCCAGGGGGTAGGTTTGACTACCGCGACGTTGGTCCTTTCGTCAGCATACCCTGACGATGTGCCGTTCTTCTCCGACGCTCTCTGCGATTGGATAGGCCTAAAAGACCTTGAAAAGAGTGTCTCGGGGTACATGAGACTTGTAGGGAGGGTTAATACTGTGAGGAAGCGATTACAAAGCTCGTCGCCGCGCCGCTGTCGAATCACTGCTCTCAACGTGGAAAAGGTGGCGTTCGTGATAGCCGCCTCTGAGTCCATGCAAGGTATCTGACGCGCAGGCGACCCAAAACACTATATCGTGGATTGACTAATTCTCCGATAGTTAGAAGGCTGTCGATTGATATCATGCAGGTCGAGTTGCAGAGGCAGTTGGGGAATGGTGGTGAGAGCGTGGCAGTCTTTGCTGCCCGGAGAACGCAATCCCATGAACTGCTGCCTACAGCATTCGCAGTCAAGGTCGTATCCAGCCTGAACTTCCGTGTCCGTTATCTGCAGATGCTGAAGGAACTTACCATACTGGCGCAATTGTCAAAGGTGGGTGGCATCTGGTCCTCCCTTCATAGCACATCCGAGAAGCGGGGAACTTACATGCCCTAGCTCCCGTTGATCAAAGATAACTTCGCCCAATTCTACGGGTGGAAATTCTCGCACGGCCACTTCTTCATCGCTATGCAGTTATTGCAGTGCGATCTGGAGACCTATCTCCAAACAGGCAGCGGATGTCATGCCAAGGAGATTACCTGGAACCAGCGCCGGCCAGGAGTGCCTCTGCAAAGACCGATAGGACAGCTAATTGAGGGCCTGCGTGCTCTTCACAAAGCAGGATTCACTCATCGCGACCTACGGCCCAAGGTATGTAGCCTGAACACATGATCGCTATACTTTTACTGATGCAACGGGGGACGTCAGAATATTCTGCTTGACGGCAAGGGGTCCCTCAAGATCGGAGACTTCGGCATCTCGAAGCACGTTATCGATGGTCTGAAGACCAAGATGAGCCATGCACCCGAGACATGGGGTTACTCGGCCCCCGAAATCATCGAGGCCGGAGCTTCCCCGCTCCGGACCTATTCGCAAAAAGTGGATATCTGGTCTCTGGGCTGCATCATGTACAGAATGCTGATGGGCAGACGACTATTCACGAATCTGGATGATGTCAGACAGAATCGTAGGTCCAGGCTTGAGTTACTTAGATCCATGAGGCATGAGCGGGATGATGTAACTACTCTGGATATCAATTTCTTGCAATGCCTTCTCTGTGAGGAGCAGGAGCGTAGATTGGACGCCGAGGGAGCTCGTGGGCATTCCTGGTTTAGTGTTTCTGACAGTTCAGTTTGACAGATTATCTAAACAGTCCGATCAAACACATGACAAGAGAAGCATAGGACTCGTCTCCTGTTGAATTTTCTAAAGATTTTTTAAAAGTCATGGCCGATCGTAGTGTTCAAATTCTAACAATTCTCTTAGATAGGGGCAATAGGCTAAAGCCCGTAAGTATCTTAAAGGAACTTTAGTCCATATTAATCATTGGTAGTATTGCCATTAGCGGCGATAAAGGTCTAAGTGAAATAGGGCACGACCTTGCAATTATCCACCATCGACTAACTATGACTAAAGACCCCATCCTTTCTCAATTTAATATATCAATCGAAACGGCCAGAGGCAACCTAATAGTTTCCCATACATCCAAGAGCTCACTCTTTCCTGAGTCTAACATCAGACTTCGAGTTCTTAGTCTTCGGAATCCTTCGACGAAAGCAACACCAAAGTCAGCATATGATTGCGAAGAGGCCCGAATAAGCATATAGGTATTGCAGCCAACAAAATCTCGTCACAAGTCTGCAAAATCGGTGGCTTCAAAGACCCAGTTCTCGATATTGTAGACAGAGCAGTGCCGTCGATTGAGCGGCATGGCGCATTTTCTGGTTCTTACATAGTAAGCAGGCCCTCTCACCTTTATACTTTGATTCGTTGTCTGATGATAAACCAGAAGTCGGTCGGATTGACCAGTTCAAGGTGGAACAAAGCTCAGAAGGTTGCTAGAGGATGCATGATATCATTGACTCCCGCGTTGCGATGGATCTCCATTATTCTGCTTTGTCTACATAGTGGGTTCGACAGGATGATGAACGTGCACAAGATGCCATGATTGCAGGAGTCTACACTTCCGAAGGTGAAGATCCAAGAATAACATAGAGACTGCGATGGGCGCCTTATTCCAAAACAAGTAGTGTGAGTGATTAACAGCTAACCTATCTAAAAAGGGGTCACTGCACCTCAGATCCGATAACAGTAAATCTAAGTAGCCAAGCATCCAGCCAAAATCAATTAGAAAAGAACCCTCCCTCCCGCCTCCCCCCCAACCCTACATTAGAAGCTAGAAATGATTCTAGACTTAGTTGCCAGTTAGAAGAGTTCTTTTCACGAGGCTGCATAAATTCAATGTGTGTTCTTCAATCTATGAAACTTTCCTGAGTCCTAAGTCTACTATGTTAACAAACTACTTTCGCAGCGTTTCGTCTGCCTCGCTGCTTTCATCTTGGCAAAAGCATCGTCTTCTAGACCCTGATAATCAGCAGGAGAAAGTACAAGTTGCGCTGCTTCTTCATCTTTTGGTACCCAACCAAGGTAAGGATCCTCATCCCTCCGCAACTGCAGTCTCTGCATGAATCCCTCGCGGACCAGTGCCCCGACGTTGACGCCTTCCACTAGTCGCCTTTGGCTGGATTCAAAAATAAGTCCCATGGCCTGCAGCAAGGAGACCTGTGACGGTGAACGGGGCACAATATCCTTCATCTGGCTCTTCAAGAGCGAGTAGAAGGAATTTAGGCGGTAGCCCCTGCCGAGATAGGTATCTTGGAGGCTCAGTTCATATGAAGCGGGGTAAAATCCGGAGAGCTCCCAGTCGATGATGGCGGAAAGCTTGTAGTCGGAGGCTCCGTGAAGAGAGGTAGAGGCAGAGGCAGAGGCAGATTCGCGTGGCCTGCTGACGATGATGTTGCTGGGGGTAAGGTCGTTGTGGCAGAGGACGGCCTCGCGGTACCACTCCTCCATGCTGCTCTTTTCGACTTTTACGGAGGCGAAGTCTTGGTATTCCGACTGTATGATGATATCACCAGCGTCCGTGGTGGTCATGGTGTGGAAGGGTCTTCCACTCAGCTCCCACCTGTTGGCGATGGCGCAGAGAAGAGATGGCCCGTCCTTGGGAGCGAAGAATCCCGTGCTTGGCCCGCCCATGACCTCTGCTCCCCCAAGAATGTGCTCTCCTGGGGTGCCCGGGTCTCTAAGTAACACATTCTGGCCAAAGAAGTATTGTATTCGGTCTAGGAAGTCGCGTATCCTAAAAGAGTGCAATTTTCTCAATGCTTCGACCAGATCAGTCACAACGGACCGTTGATTTTCGTGACTCATCTGCTCCCAAACGTCTTCCAGTGTCTCCCCCTCGACAAACTCCGTCAAACTGAAATATACTCGTTTGTCTTGGGCATTGTTGGCCACATCAGTTTCATACGTCTTTGGGATGAGTTTATGAATGGCAAACGAGGCGATCTGCTGCATGGCCGAGACGGTGGCAAATCGTATAGCTTCCTCGTCCCCGAATGCGACCTCCAGGCGGACTAAATACGAGGAAGGAGGCTTGCTGGTATCTGGCTTGCAGGCATCTGTAAAGCTGGCCTTGAAGACGCATTTGTCCCAAGTTTGTACGAAGATAGTATCTATGGAGACGTGAGGTTGATTGGGGAAGATATGGTTGAGGAGGACGTCGTCAGGAGCGAGATCTCGAGGGTCCATGTTGTATGACAGTATGAAAAAGTGGTGTCAGAATAGTGAAGGAAGGAGAAGTGAAGGCCATATCAAGTTTCATGGAAATTAGAGGATGGCCATCAGTTGTTAAGTAGCGGCGTAGCCTCATACCTCCACCGCCTTGCTGCAGGTGCAACAAGGGGTGTCTTTGTCAAAATGAACAATTAGAACCAATGGCCTGCGCAACCGGAATAGGAGCGGCTCAGACGTTGTTTGCTCTCCGATTTCTGGTAACATTGAAACATTATTGATCCCAGGTTAGACAAGGAAATGCTTCAAAGTGGGGGGAAGCACAGAAGTCTGGCTTTGTCCATGGACAGTCAGTTGCGCAATTCGATAACAAGGAAGTTTTTCAAAAGATACAGCACAAGGTACATCGTGTTCTGGCCCCTAACTATGCTCAATTACACAAATCTACACAAGTAAACCAATATCGAAACTGCAATTTCAGGTTTCGCCATGCCCAATTCAGACATCTCAGGCTCTCAGAGCCGATACCAACTGTCACAATCCACCAACACTGAATCCCAGCACGGTAACCAATCTCAACAGACATCTGAGGCGCAACGCTGTGCGTCAGGCCGAGTGAGTACGTTTGGAACCCAAATGACGGTTCAGAAGACCTATGCGGTTAGGTGCAATGTTCTCCTCAAACTCAGTTCTCGGAATTGACTTTAGAAGAGGCGTTGCATCTGCAAATGTTTGTTGCTCCAGTAAAGTTCTTACCACACTTGCCGCATTTGTTCTGGTTAACTAGTGCAACCTGGGTTGTAGACTTCTCCGGGGTGGGGTTTATCTCGATGTGGTTCGTCATGATTTCGGGTCTACAGGAAGTGATGGCTAGTTGAAGATGGAGTTTTCTTATTTGTTGATGTCTGGTTCTTTGTCTGTGTGTGTGTGCGTGTGGAGTTGAAGACTGAGATTGACAGGAAAGACATCCATTTCGCCTTCTTAAGTATCAAATGCTTCTGCGTAGGTTCTACCTCAAGAGAGTCTTGTTGAACTTGAGGCTCTTTGATACAGCTTGTCTCAATATTCAATGTTCGCTGTCCTTGCTCAATTCTTTACTGCACCAGTTCACACGCTACCTAGCTGCAAGATATTTCGATAAGGAATTTGCGTATGCACAATAAATTCAGACAAGCGCCTTTCTCATCTCTCTCTTCATTCGTTCCTTCTGAGTGATTTACTGCTGATGTGTACACTAAAAGAACCTTTGTCTAATTGCATGCTAGCAGCCAGCCTTTCGCCAGAACAATCAGTCTGAGGTGATTCAAAGCTCTAAGGAATGCTCAAAGAGTAGAAACTACTCAGGGACAAGAATCAGTGACTCCAGCCTTCCAATATTTTCTTTCTTGGTTGCTGGACAGAAACGTAGTCTACGTGCTTGGGCGATGTAGTTCACTTAGCATGCCCAGGTCCGGCAGGTATGCGTACTGTACCTAAACGTACTTGCATGTATCCCTACAGAGCTCATGGGCTTTTTTCGTTTTACTAAATTCAAAGACCTAATTCAGTTGGGGTGCCTACTTGAAAAGATTCAATAGAAGCAGAGACTTTATAGTTTGCAATTTGCGTCAAATCTCTTATCAAAGGTGGAACCATATGAGTGACGTGACCGTACCAAAACCGCAGTCAGTATAGATGCATCCTCTATGGTCTTCATAACACAACATTCATCAGCAGGACACAGACCAAGCTTGCCACTTCCCAAGCTTAGAGCTTGATAACCTATATCAGTGTCAGTCAACATTCATCCTGTTTCTTCATTGCAGACTGGAACGACTCACTGGACACATCCGTCCTGGACCTGATTGACACGCTGCCAGTTGGTAGGCTCGCTAATGGACGCCACACAACCTGCAAGCCCGGGCCGTGTAAGCCTGTCGGTAAAGATATCTATCGTGCAGCCTCCAAAGACGATGTTGACGCTTTTTGCGTCATAGTTTGCGTAGCTCTTGTTGATGCTCGTCATGGTGAAGCATTGGGCGAGGTGTTCGGTTCCCGTGTTGGAGCCACCACCGTAGTGGAATGTCGAACCGCCGGCGCATTGATCGTGGTCGTGGAATGTTACTGACCAGGCTGAGACGGCGGTCACGGCGGAAAGGAGAAGAGCGAGCTTCATTTTGGAAGTAACTGAACAATAGTAAAATTAAGTGATAGTAATAATTAACAAGGAATGATGGATTGAGCGTTGACTCTGGCTTGGCAATGCTTGGTTTATGTAGTGTCGTTGGCGACGTGCGTGTACGAAAGACATTTAGGATTTGAACTTTTCATATTTGTAGATCAAGGGCTTATCAAAGTCACGCGTGTCGTTACAGTCATGAAAGTTTTCATAGTCTACTATCTAATAGATTGCTACTTGCTTGCTTTCATCAAGTTGCGCGGATACTCGGCAGGCTTTGAACATGGGATATGCGGGGCCATTGCAAGTTTACATACTGATAGTCAACGAAGTACTTATTAAGACTCATAAGAGCTGCACGTTTTTAGGAATCATTAGGTTTAGAGTTACGGGATGACCGAAATTTGATGCGAGCTGTGCGAGTAATTCGGCTTCGTCTATCTGTTCTAGGGGATTTGTTCCCGAAACCGAGGGGCGTAACGACTAACGGGCTTGTACCTGACTCGCCCTTTTCCTCAATACTAGCACGCTCAGAATATCACTAAAAAGAGAATGGATAACCCCCTCAGAGAGCCTGACAAACGCTATGAATGATTGCCAATAGACGGCTACTAGTACATTCTGCCTGTTCAGAGCGACTCGGTATCTCCTTTTCCAAGTATAGTGATTTGTTCCTTATGTCATCGTAATGCTTAGCAGATTCTTGAGAAGTGGTATCAAGTCTGAAGATGTCCTGATAAGAGCTGGGAGTCATTAGCTCTTATGCTATCCATATAAATTGAAATCTTCGCGTGGGTTCATTGCCATCTTTCGACTCCGAGTGTGTTTTAGGACGAGCCACATAGGCAGGATGAGAACGAAAGGAAGCGGTTGGAAGGCAGAACCACTGTCGAATGACTCTGTGATCATTGTGTAAAGCAGCACTACTGTATCGGAATAAAGAATAAATCGCGGAGTGTTCACCTAAACAAGCCCAAATTCTTCAATGTGGGCAGTTCCAGCAGACACATTCTCGGACATTTGTCCCTCCATGAGCCCACATACATATGTATCCCCAATAACTTGATGAGCTTCGCTCTGATTCCGAAGAGCAAGAGGTACGGGACATCCTCCTATCAAGACAACGTGTTCTCCAACCTGCGCGCCTAATGGGGCCAGTCCCATATAACCATGCTCAGTAAGAACGAAGGACCTATCCCGTGTTATCCTGTCGACCTCGTTGGCTAGACTAAATTCTAAAACTCCTAGCATCTTTTCACCTATTACCTTATCGTTAGCTGGTAATAATTCGAAGCTGGGCTGTTTTTCTTCGCCAAGATAGAGGTCGTTGAGCTGAGAGTCTTGATTCTTCTGAAGCCAGTATGATCGTTCTGCCTGGACGGAGGGGATAGGGTGAATCGGTGGGTGATGACCAATTTCTGCCTGAGACTCTTTCCTCGAATAGAACCCGAAAATGAACTGCATCATTAGGATACATGCGTCTCTCACGCTGATGGAATGGATGAGGTCGAGGGGCATCCGCTCGTCGACGAAATCCATCGCTCCGTTGCCAGTCTTGAACAACAGCCTGATGTCTATCATGCGGTCACGATCCATAAGAATCGTGCGGTAAAATCCCCGCCTCGAACTGATGTACGTATGATCTGTGGTATTGGTTGCTGCGCAGCAGTTCCACTTGACCATTCTCTCGCGGAAGGGTGTATTTGGGCTTAGAACAGGCGTTGTGCGGTTCTCATTGCCCCATGCGTATGAGAGAGCTTTGAAACGAGGTGGTTTATCCAAGCTCTTGGTGTAGAGATTGACTTTGATGGCTTCGCCGTTGCTCTTTGCTGATTCGATCCTAAGTAAACGGATCTGAGGGGAGTTCCCTCGACGTAGTTTCCTTACGGTATGTCAGAGTACAACTTGAATCTCAGATGCATTGTCTCCTTCCTTATAAGGGGTCCGATTTTCCATGATGGCTAAACACACGCACTTAAGTTGGCCTTGGCTCCAAGATTTCTGAATACCCGGTTTAATCTAATATCAATGGTATCCGCCGCCTCATATGTATTCGAAGTGATGGCTAGGTCGCCGTTGGGCATCTAGGCTGAGAGCCTAGCTGATCTGCCTTGGGCTGGGCCACCAACCACTCATGCAGTCAAGCTGTACCAACTCCTGATTCTCAAATTGATAGGCTGAGCCCCGCACACCACGAATCTCTTCTCCTTTTGGGCTGGATTACGTCTAGAGTAGGCAGGTATTGAAGGACTCAAATGTTATTCGGACTGCGGCATATACAAAGTCTAAGTATGCACACTTTGGTAAGAGAACATGAAAGCAAAGAAGCATTCTCCCTTGAAAGTATTTGCTCTTGCTTTCCGTACAGAGCTGGTACGCTCTTCTCAGCAAAGAACCACAGTCTCCCAACGAGGATTACAGTCCTTCCACTGGCTAAGCCAAACATATCCCACCCCAACCCTCCTCGCAACAAACGGTGTACACGGCAACCTCTCAACAAGCATGACATTAAACCGCCACATCTCATGAAACTGCCCCTCGATGAACGCCCACTCGTTGTTCTCGCTGACTTCGGTGTCAACAGAAGCACTAACAACGATGAAATCGAGCAACGTCCTCCGATCCCTCGCCCCCTTCCGTCCTGAAATCCATCGGGTGTCCATCTTATCCAAATACCCAACATGTCTCCCCATCATATCCAGAATCTCTGCATCCTCGTGGTTACCCCTCCTCGCGCCCATCATCCTCCGGTCCCGCCCGACTCGCAGCGAGGCAACAGTCGTGTTGAACACCAGCGCCCCAGGAAAGCCGGCCGCTACCTCAACGGCCTCCGGATCGAGCTCCGCGTGCGCGAGAGCCTCCCACGGACTGTGCGGACACTCCCGCCACATGGCGGTGTACTTCTCGTTCGTCTCCTCAGAGACGTTGAACTTGCCGCCAGCCATCTTCCTCTGCAAGGGCGGCAGCTTCTCGATCCCGCTCATCCTGGCCATTTGCATGCAGCTGCCCAGCCACCGTTCCGTCACCCGGACCTTGCGCAGCCCATTCCCGTCGTCTTGAGGCTTTGAGGCGGCGCGTCTGGCATCGTGTACGTGAAATTGCACGATTGTCACGATCCGAACAAGCTTGGTATCGTACAGTCGCGCATCACCGTGAATCCACCGGTAACTCGCGGCACTCTCTCCCTCGACCGATGACCACGCCGCCCAGCTCCAGCTCGGTATCCTCAAACCCGCATCATCTCGCCGACGGACGGCGCCCCTGTGGCTCCACATGAGCGTCTGGGGGAGGTACATGTCCGGCAGGCCGAACGTCATCTTTGTGCGCATAGATTCGCCTACGGCGTTGCCTACTCCCGCAAAGGCGTTGAGGATGTCTGTTTCGCGGGAGAGCTGTCGCGATGTATAGTCTTCGACCCATTGGCAGTAGTTTGCTAGGGATACTTGGCCTCGTAGCCTGACTGGTGCGTCTTTGCTGTGGAGCGCTCGGCGGTAGAAGCCGGGAATGCTGGGTATGCGGTGTGTCTTCTTCTCGGTCATTGATTCGTCAATGTCTGTTTGAGCCGTATGATGAGCTTCTGGATCGTGTTCGTCAATGGGCTCTTCAGCTCGTGGTGGATCTGCCCCCTCAACCAGCACGGGGGTAGGAACTTCATGTCGTGCTCGTCCCCAAGTAAGTTCCTCGGCGGCGTGACCCCGACAGCATTGAAACAGGACCTGGTGCTCCGTGATGAAGATGCTGCGCCTTGAAAGCAACCTCTCTTGGAATGTCCATCCTCTCCGGTTCCACAGGGATGCGTCCACTACTGTTTGCAGACCGTTCGGGTCAATACCCTTCCCAACGTTCCGGTTCCGCGGTGGGCACCACAGAGAGGCGCGAGGCCTCCTCGGGTTGCCAGCATACCCAGGAAACCCATTTCCCTGTCGATCATTCAGCGCGGCCAGGATTGAGAAAGACGCAGACTGGTAGATCCGGTCCATCCCGTCTATCTGGTCAGGCTTCGATCGCTCGTCATCCTGGACGATACAAAGGCGGTCCACCCATAGATAGCCCTCTCCGAGATGCCTGCAAAGAGACATCGCGTCCAAAATGATGCGTGGTAGCTTTACAGACTCGAGGCTCCCCGGAGATTCCAAGTCCTCTGCGTTTGTCGTCTCCAGCTGGGCATGTCCCGGTGCCTCGGATGCTTCCCACATGTAGCTGAGAGCAACGAAGCGGACCGGCCTTGACGGCTTGACAATCTTCATTCCACGAACATCTATGACCCTAAACCCGATAGGAAGATGATCTGTTCTCCTGTCAGAAATCATGCGCACAGAGTCGAGCTGCACATGGCCACTCACCAATCGACTTGTACTTGCTCACGCAGTGGTGGCCGTGAAGGATCTCGCAGCCATCAATCCAGACCTTCAATGTCTTGACATCAAAGTATTCAGCCTCCCAATCTTCAATTGCCTGAAGTCTCTGAGGTTCGGCTGTCGAGTATCTGAAGAGAAACTGCGGCGTGACCGCAAAGGGAGACGGCAACGAATCCAAAGCCCCCGACTTCGATCTGTCTGGCACGGCACTCAGAGTCAACTCCAGAAACAACCTCAGAGACACTTCATCATCAGAGGAAGCGAACAATCGGTACTTCTGGTCCTCAGCTAGCCCCGAGTCAAGGAAGAAAGGGCCTTGGAGTGTGACGAATAAGCACGCTTCGGAGCAGTCACGTAACCACTCATCCTCCCGCCGCCGGGCTTCGACAGCCGCCGCGATCGCGCAGCAAAAGAGACACTTTGACGATCGAAGTGAGATGTTCTCAAAAGAGATATAGTGGTGTGCTTTGGATCCCAGACCGGCAGCGAAGTCGGGGACGTCCCAGTCCTGACACCGCTCACATAGTCGTGGGTTGGGGTTGGTCTGTCGGCGCTTCTGTACGAGGTGCGCGACGCGCGGGAGGTTGGTGGCGGAGGCGAGGCCCCCAAATGAGACGGCTTCGGGTCTCTTGGTTCTCGGGAGCATTCAATGGGTTGGGGATTGAAATTGACGATATTCGGATCATGCGAACGTTTGTGAATGGAGATGGTGCCGCAACAAAGGCTTATGTTGGTGTTTGTTGAATGGTGCCAGAGGTGCCACTTCAGAGTGTAAACAAAAAGTGAAAGGACAAACTTTGCCTTTGTTGGAGTTGCGGCAATTGTATAAGACAAAGGCTCAATGTTTAAGAGGAGGACGTTGGTGATGATTGAATCGTCATGTAGATCTGAGCGAGAAGGTGTGGGGTCTGCTGTTTCCCGAGCCACCAAACGGGATTTCGGTTTGCTGACCAAGATGGCGCTGATTCCGCTACTACCTTAGCTTGAGACTAGATCAGCCATGACGACGAGGACGACGTTGCGCTTGTCTCGCCTTAGCAAAGGCAAAGTGATCAAAATTAGTTGATATACGCGAATGCATACTGATTGGCGATGGTGGTTCATTTGATCTGTTGTGGAATCGGCTGAGTGAACGTCAGAGCGTTTTGCACAGAAGAGAACGCCGGAGGCTGGACTGAAGACAGACAGATCATATAAGATGAACAACCGAGTCAAGGCCTCTTCGACAGCATAGCAAGCCCCAAAGATAGACCTCTTGCATTCCGTTGAACTCCCACCCTATGCCCCATGGCCAGCGACCTTCCTATTGTACAAAATTCGAAATCTCCACGCTCTGTTTCTTTTTTCGACTTTCCGCTGCAACCCGTAAATTGCGTACTGAGTTTTCCAAGGAGAATCCCTTTCCCCTTTACCGTTGATTTCGTATACATGACCAGACAGTGTAGGACGGTCTGCTGCATGTAGTCTTCCAGACACAAAGTCCCCATCCTGTATCAGGGTGATAGACCGGTTGGAAGACCACACACTGTGATTAATAATTTGTAGGTAACGAACGTGGAGTGTACTGTAATGCTGTCCATCACTCAAGGGTGATGAGACATGAGAAAAGACGTATTCTATACATGTAAGAAGGTTATAGGAAATGAACAGCACAGTAGACATTGGCTTCGTTGATCATGCGTAGAAAGCCTCGAAGAAGTAGATGAATCCGAACACCAGGAAAGCAACAGCGCCACCAACCGTGACTGAGATATGTTAGCTAGGAGCTTGTAGGTAGATACCATGGCAACTTACCAACTTTGAGACTGACACGACCTGCGATGGCGCGGCCGCCGATAACGGCAGCGCCTGTGCAGATGCAGTGGCCGACCATGGCACCAAGAATAACCCACCAGTAGTCCTGTCCTGCAGCCATGGCAATCGTTGCGATTTGACTGCGGTCGCCCCATTCGCCCAGGAAAGTCATGACAAATGTTTGAACCCAAGCAGGGCTGAGAAGAAGACCGAGAAGGTTGTTCAGACCGTTAAGAGAGCCTCGGATGCCACCGGAACCAGGAGAAGGGCTGCGAGGCGGCGAAGAGGAAGGCGAGCGCGGGGGCGAGGGGAAACGGCTCTTAGACCTAGACTTCCTGCTGCCGTTGAGACCCATTTCCAGCGCGTAGGGAGACACAGCAGAGCCCCGTCTCTTGCCCTCCTTTTCCTTCTCGGCCAGCTCGCGCTCGACCTCGTGCAGCTCGGCAGTCACACCCTCGTTAGGGTCCATACCCAAACCTTCACGAAGGAGCTTCGCGCCAAAGACAAAGAACAAGCCAGCAGCGAGGAAGCTGGTCACACGCTTGGGGATCAAAGTCGGGACAGCGTGGCCGAGAACGGCCGACAGGACAGTCATAACCAAGAGAGCACCAAAGGCGGCTGAGAAAACGACCATCCGGTCATGCTTCATGGCCATAAGGGCAGCCACAAGGAAGGTCTTGTCGCCAACTTCGGAAACGAGGATCATGGTGAGAGACAGGACGAAGGAGTGGAAGGGTTGGATGACACCCTCGGCTTCGTCATCGAGGCTGGAAGAAGACTTGCCCTTGGACTTTGAAAGATCCAAGTGGTCCTTATGCGCCGAGTTGGGAAGCGGGTTGGGCTTGTCGTCGAGCTTGTCAGGGAGACCGGCCGGTTTCTGTCGCATGTCAGCATTTCACGTCTCGACCAATGGGGTGGTAACCAGGAAACTCACCTCGAGCCCCGCAACCTCGTCGGCAGTGTGGTGATCATGATCGTGTTCTTTGCCGGTGGTGGTGTCCTTTTCGCTCGAAAGCTTCTCTTGTTCACTGTGCGGCAGAGGGGGCTTCTCCTTGGGGGCCTCTGGCTTGTTGTCGGCCTTTTCGCCAGTCCGGCCCTCAGCTGCCTTGCGCGCCTTATCCTTTTCACTGACACCTCCTTCGGTGCCCGTGGTTCCCTCCTTGGGCTTCTGGCGTGTCTTGTCGTTCATGACACCGTCGTTGGTCTCGGGAATCTTCTTGCCATCGACAACGGTTGGATCGGACGGGCGTCCCTTCAAGGGAGGCAGTCCCTTCTTGCCATCTGTATCGACACTCTCTTTCTTGGTCTCTCGGGTCTGGTCAACAAAGGGACCTTCGTGGGGCATGCCATCTTTGCCATCGACAGGCGCGTGGTCGGTGCCGTATCTGGTCTTGATGCCAGAGATGACGGTCGATTCGGTGGCCTTTTCGGTGGAAGCTACGGCCTTGCCGCCATTCTTGTCTTTGGTTTCGACGGCGAGACCAGCAACGAGAGATGGGATGAGGAGGAGGAGCAAAGGGGAGGGTCGAGTGCGCAGCCTCATGATGACTCGTTCGGGCTGTCGAGCCTCGCTGGTATCTGAACAATGGGTGTGAAATGTAAAGGAGAGTTTGGAAGTAAGCTCGAGAAATATGCTGCTCCTCTGCTAAGGGGGGAAAAGAAAAGGAAGGATGTTTTGGTGGTTTCTGATTTCCTCTGGCAATGCGACTGCTCAGCCACGGGTTCTAAAATTGTTACGTATCTTTTGCTGCACGGCCACGGGGTAAGCAAGTACCTGAGGGTACCTGGGACGTGAGGTGGGAAGAACTGGACGCGCCGCCGCCCGCCGTGGCCCCCCATGTTCCGAATCCCTTGAGGCGCCCCACAAGGGGCGACATTGGGGATCATGGAACCCCTAGAATGTTTCCGCCTGAGAGGCTCTGAGGGGGATATTTACATAGAGGAGAGTTGAAATGTCGGATAACGGCTTAAGACATATAGGCGTATTAAGCAATTGAACTGCAGACAATCGAGTGTTCATGCATGCGTAGGGTGTAAAACAGACTTTCAATGCCGCCTTACATATGTATAATAGCTACATTAATGAATAGGAACGTCCTCGCTGAACCCTTCTCCATCATTTCGTGAACCGTTTTGGTGTACTTGAATACACACGACAGTCAAAGGTGTGTTGCGCTGCGTTTGACTCGCATTTGACCAGGTTGCATCCAGGCGACCCCAGATTTGCTGACAGAATTCCAAGAAGCTGCTTGGCTCGACCCGAAAAAGGTACGTATCTTTAAAGTGTCCGAGGAGAGCTTCAACAGCTGGCGCCACTGACTTGCCGGAGCTTACAGCAGCTGTGCTATCTTATCTCCGCCGTTCGGTCCAGGACACCCCACCTCCGCCGGGGACTGAATGAATGTCGTCACGAACGACCGCTTCTTCATGAAACATAATCTGAGCGTTGCCTCTTATTGTCTTTCCTGTTCACTTCAATCGTCTTACTCTACTGCAAATCAGCCTTAGAACGCACCACGTACATATAGCTCGGCATCTAGACGATTGCCACGGACATTCCTGCATAGGGCCCTCCATCACACGTCGGCAGTCTCAAATCCGAGCTCCGTTGTATCACTAAGCATCAATCCGAACTTCCGTGTGAACCCAAAGCCAAAATGGACGACTCTGGAGACAGCATTCGATCGCCATCAGCAAGCATGAATTTGATTGAAGAGGATGATGAGCCTGCCTGGACTTATACCTATGATCCGGAAGATGCCGAAGGAATGGACGACGATGAGTACGACCCCGACTTTCAAGATGAGCCAGAGGAAGAAGAAGGGGACGATGATGATGAGTATCATGGTAATGGTCATCTCCCTTTCGCGTTGAGTCATACAGAGACTAACCATGCGCAGATGCCGAGGACGGCGAGGACAGCAACGTAGAGGTGGAAGTGTTCATGGGTGCTGGCGACGAGGACGACGATGATGCTGAGGAAGACGGCATGGCCGCTAATCCAATATCGAGACTCATGACTCTCATCAGTGAGTCAAACTTCGGTTCAAGTAAAATCGTTTGCCAATCTCGCTAATCTACGATACAGCTGGTGCTGCGGGCAACGGAACAGGGTTTCTTACACGAGCACAACTGCTAGGCTTGATTCAAAGTGGCGAAGTAACATTGCGCAGTACTCTCGACGACGAAGATGACGACGAAGATATCGGCTGGGGAAGAAGACGCAGGCGGCCTCGCGCACAGGAGCCGAATCGCTTCCCCAAAGTACCGAGCGAAGAGGGCACAAAGTTGATGCACTCTGGCGTTTTCGGCGCAAACGATTATCGAGTCACGAAGAAGAAGCAACTAGCACGCAGGATATTAGACCGTGAGCTTGGTCTGGGGGATAGGCGCGACCGGAAGCAGAATCAAGATCTCATGGCTCAGGGCATGATACCCTCGACGAACCCCGAAATGATTGTGCACTACGACGACCCTGTCTACTCCGGCCAGTTCTCCGATGACGGTAATTTCTTTTACGCCTGCGGTCACGACTTCAAGGTCCGCATGTATGACACCTCGAATCCGTACAACTGGAAATATTACAAGACGGTCAATTACCCATGGGGACAGTGGACACTGACCGACGCATCCCTAAGTCCTGACAACCGCTGGCTGGCTTACACATCAATTCAAAGCAACGTTTGCCTGGCACCTACGGATCCCAACGACACGGGAGACCCATACACTTTGGATCTGGCAGAGAGGAGTGCGGGAACTCGACACGCAGGATGGCGATCAAGACATTCCTTTGGTATTTGGTCTGTGAGATTTTCGGGAGATGGCCGTGAGCTCGTGGCCGGCACCAACATGCAGTCAATCGTCGTCTACGATATTGAGTCGCGCACTGTGTTACACAATGTTGTTGGCCACGAAGACGACGTGAACGCTGTGTGCTTTGCAGACAAATCTTCTCCGCACATTCTCTACTCTGGATCAGACGATGCCACCATCAAAGTCTGGGATCGACGTAGCATGGGAGACGGCCGGCCAGCTGGCGCTTTTGTGGGCCATGTGGAAGGCCTCACGTACATTGACAGTAAAGGCGACGGTCGATACATTTTGAGTAACGGCAAAGACCAGACGATGAAGCTTTGGGATCTAAGGATGGTCATGTCCACGGCCAAATACGACGAAGTCAACCCCACGAGGTTGACCAGCAACAGCGACTTCGACTACCGGTGGGGAACCTATAGGGACGAAGACTGGTTCCCGCACCCCAACGACAACTCGCTGGTAACATTCCGAGGACATCGTGTAATGCGCACGCTGATTCGATGCCATTTTTCACCTCCATCAAGTACGAATTCGCGTTACGTCTACTCTGGTAGCCAGGATGGCAAGGTTTACATTTGGAATATGGACGCCACGCTCGCTGGTACCATCGATGTGAGGAAGGCCACCAAGAACTCGCGACCATTGGAGCGCAGATACCGCATATATCACGGTGACGACTTCCCTGGCTGGAATACGTGCGTGCGCGACGTGAGCTGGCATCCCAACGCGCCAGTTCTCGCTGGTAAGTCCTTCGTACTCTGTAAGTTTCGGGCCATAGCTAACCTCTTCCAGCGTCTGCATGGAACGGATTCAACATGGCTCATGGGACCTGCACGCTGCATTCATACAACGAAGCCGAAGATGACGAGGCAGAGCCGCCAATGGGTCGCAATGTCGACGAGAAGCTGCGCCCCGTTGGGGAATCATTCCAAAGCTAATTCTTCTCGTCAGGAATCGGTTCACTGTTGGAAAAGCGCTGTGGGATGATTATTTTAATTAATTTGTACATCTTCCACACATGTCCAACCCCTCTTTTGGCAATGATACATGATCGATGAAGCCTCTTTGGTCTCGGGGTATCTCCCATCACTCCCACACAGCACCTGTTCCAAGTGTTGCTGCGCTGCTTCTGCAATCTGCCCGTGCAATGCTTTTTGAGACCCATCCCTGCGTTTGAAATCATGTTTGGTCGTCACGTGTTCTCGTGAACGTGTTTGAGAAGCCGGCCCGACATATTGGTGCTTCCGTTGAAGGTAGATACATGGCGTTTATGCGCCTCCGACAAGGATGTTGTTAAGGGGAATGTGAATCAGCTTAACGATGTAGCCGACAGCACCCATGATGAGGAAACCGACACCGACGGCCTGGCAGAGCTTCAGGAACTCGAGCTTGTCGGCTAAAGGACATGTTAGTATTCGAAAAGCTGACGGATAATGCAACACGAGGGGCGCAACATACGCTTGGTGCACCTTCTCATGAACTGAACACCTTCCTGAGCGAACTCGGAGGGAACCTCGAGAATCTCCTTGACTTGGTCGGCCATTGTGGATAGAAGCGCGCGTGGGTTGCGAGAAGAGAAAGGGGTGGATAACTTGATGAAAGTCGCAAAGAAAATCCCAATGGGCCGCAGGGTAACAGAAAGCTGCAAAGTCGATGAAGGAAAGGCGCGACGACGTGTGTTTAAGGCGTTGCAGGTCGGGGAGGTGGAAGATTCGAGAGGTTCGAATGGGTAGAAGGGAGATGTGTTAAATTGAGCGCGCTGTCACCAAATGGTCCCCAAAATTTCGGGACAAGCTCCCGCTGTGGAAGGAAGAGCCAGATTGCCATTAAGGAGGTATGGAGGAATAATGCGCCGGCCGCCGAGGCGCACGCCACTGGACAGATTGCTTATCTAAGGTTGGGATGATAGGAAGTCCCCTTGGTGTTCCCCCTTCAGACTTCAGTGGAGGAGGACCCCCTGGATTCCCCCGCTAGTGGGCAGAGAGGGTCTGGTCTGGGCCATTTTGACCAGCCACAGCTCAGCGCATTCAAGCACATGACAGGGAGATGAGGGAAGGTACGTACCGGCTCAGCGGGCAGTTGCGAACCCCCATAAGGTACCTTACGGGCATCCACTGGCGGAGTCTGTGCCTGCCGCAGCCTGGCGGCCATGGCCCTTGTCCAGTCCCGCCTGGCTCAAGATGCGACCTCAGCTCCTGAAAGAGCTCCCCCCAGTTTTCTTTCCCTTCCCAAACGTTCCTCCACTCACCTTCGTCGACCGCATCTCTTTCTTCGCGTCAACATCAAACCGAGACGTCCATACCTGAGCTGCACGACAACATCACAGCTCTATCCAAGCTAACCTACGCGTCGATTTTCCAGTCAACGCGATAGACGCCAGACACTTAGCGAAACGACGCGCAGCAGCTGCTTACCCGCAGACCCGCCGGAAACCTTCGTTGGGCTTCCTTGATCACTAACTCATCACGGCTAACAGCATCGCCCACATAGTGAGCGGGCAGGAAAGCGGTTGGAGCGTCGGTCAAAGGCGGTGGCAGAACGAGCAAACAGTCTCTGGAATCTCGGGATCCTGTTTCCATTCTCCCTCGTCCCAACTACATCATCTTGTTCCCTGTACCTAAGGCTTCTGAGCCGAACAAGGAAAGAACTACAGTCACGTCGCCATTAGGGAAGACCGAAGCACAGAGCTTCGTCTTCATTTTTATTTGGCTAAAGGAGAGGATTATATTGGCTTGGCAATTTCCATCCAACCTCTTCCATCCTGTCTGCGGAACGAGGAGTGTACGTATCAGATGTTCTCTGTTTTCTATCCTACGTTCGAGTTTGTCTTTTGGCTTCAGATTTTGGCAATGACCCTGTATTGGCAGCGGCTGATGATCATGTTCAAGACTGCAGACATATCCTGTATCTCGCAGACTAATAACAACCTTTTTCCAACTACAACCAAGCTCACTGCCCCAACTCACGGCTACCAGATAACAACGTCACCATGGCTGAGGAGGAATTCGAGATCGACATCTACGGCGATGCGCCTCAGGATCACCAAGACGGAAACGCTGAGAACTACGACGGAGCCAACGGTCATGCGGACAACCACCAGGAACAGCATGACCAGCAGGAGCACCACGACGATCAGCAGAAGCACGACCAGCAGGAAGAATATCACGACCAGCAAGAGGCGCCTGCTCCCCAACAGGGTGTCAAGAGAAAGGGTGACGACCGACCGATCGATCCTGGCGCAACCACAGCCCTGATGGTCTCGGATCTCAATTGGTGGAACACGGACGACGACATCAGAGGATACGCCAGAACAGGCCATTGCGAGGACGAGCTTAAGGACATCACTTTCAGTGAACACAAAGTGAACGGAAAGAGCAAGGGGTATGATTCGTGGTGTGATGTAGACTTGCATGCAGAAATGCTGACTCCGCCTACAGACAAGCCTACATTGAGTTCACATCGCAGCAAGCTGCCACAGCCGCCAAGCACGCTTTCGAGTCGACAGACAGCGCCCAAGGCGTACCGAAGAAGTACCAGGTTACTTACTCGAACCCCCACGTCAACCCGTTCCGCACGCTGCCTAAGGATGCACCGAACCGCGCAGGTAAAGACCAGGGCAGCCGACCGAACAACAACTACAACAACCAGGGTTCCTCGATGGGTGGCAGCGACTTCCGTGGAAACGGGTACCGCGGTCGTGGAGGCTTCAATGGTCCCCGTGGCGGCATGAACCAGGGCGGGTTCAACCGCAACTTCTCGGGCGGCATGGGAGGTGGGTTCAACAATAACAACATGGGAGGCGGCGGCTTCAACAACGGCATGGGCGGCGGCAATTTCGGTGGCGGCGGTTTCCAGCGGGGCGGCGGCTTCGGTGGTGGCATGCGTGGCGGCCCCGGCATGCGTGGTGGCCGAGGCGGTATGCACAACCCGATGGGCGGTATGAACATGGGCCCGATGGGAGGCATGCCCAACATGGGTATGCCTAACATGGGCATGATGGGTGGCGGAATGCCTGGTACGACTCCCCTTGCTTTTGAACCTCCCCAGCGAAATCACAAACCCCCAATATCTCGGCTTGCCTCTGCTTCAACCCAGAAGCGCAAGCACTCTGGTCGGCGAAAAGGCAAAGCTGCCAACACCGGCCGAGACGAGATCTCTTCGAGGTCCAAACGGCGTAAGGTGCAGCCAAACCATGTATCCGAACAACCAAAGCCTGTAACTGCACCAGAGGCTGGCCGGTGGACAAAGGAGCGCGGTTTGGAGTTTACCATCGTTGCCCCTCAACTCCCCGCAGCTACTCGGTTCGGCTTGAGGATGCCGCCTCACTACTCGGCTCCTCGCTGAATTTTATTGACTGGTTTCTGTGCTGTTTGCGTTCTCATTTGTTCTTCGTCAAAGAACACTCAAGCTGACTCTTTCCCAGGATTCCAAGGCATGCCACAGCAATTCAACCCTGCATTTTTTGGCGGTAACCAGGGTGGTGGTAACGACTGGGGCAACCCTCACGGTGCTAAGCGACCTCGACCCGAGTAGGATTACCGGCCAAGGCAGTTTTCGCGATCTTGAGGTAATAGCCGAATCGACTTGTTGCGGCGCGACCCAGTTGCCACCGCGTCGTAGAGGTTTCGGTCAAGACCTCCTCATCGCATCACAGTTAGGATTCATTCCTTCGACCAGGGCTATCTCATCGACGAGATCCCCTTGCGTTTATCAGAGAGAATCAGTGGATCAAGGCCTCTTGTCTTCAGATAAGTGGCGGATATATTGGCTGCGACCTCACGAAGCTCATTGTTGCTGCGGATGGATGATAGTGACCACCAAAATGCCAGATGTTTGCTTTGAGTTATCGTATGTGTACTATTAGAATATGGCTGCATGGGAACGGTCCCTAGCACCTCGGTTACGGCGTTACAGTTCAGACCTGAAAAGCACAATCTACGACTGCGTTTCGTCATTTCGCCCTCGTTGCTCTTTGCTTTGCAGAAACCGGTAGATTATTATGTATTGGAGACGTTCAACTTTTCTATCGTGCTGCGTACGAGCAGCTGTATCTGCTTCCAGCGAGCCACAACCATGTCCCGCTGAAACTGCTCACCTTCATCCAGGCCACGCACTGTCTTAATCTTGGACTCAATGTCCACGTCATACGCCGACAACATCTCGCGCAGCAACACATCGACCTCGGGCTGCTCCGCTTCTCCGTCCGCAAACCCGTCCACGAACTGCGCCCATCGCCTCGCCGGTAACACGAGCGTCCGCAACGCCACCTGCGTACGGTAACACACCGTCTCCGCGTCAATGACATAATTCCCCAGGAACCCCCTCTCCTCCAACCGCCGCCTATGCGCGGCGCTCAGGCGAGGCAGCAGCACGTCGTCGATGCAGACCTCGTCCCACTCGTTTTCGCCCTGGGCCATGATGAAGCCGTACTCGACCAGCAAGAAATCGTTGCTGTGGCGGCCGTAGCAGATGTGGATCTCCTCGCCGGCATCATAGGCGCGATTGGCTTTGATGGTGAAGGAGTGCTTGTCGAAGGCGACGGAGCAGCCGCGGGAGGCGTGGTTGAGGAGGTCAGCGACGGGTTGGAGGATCATATGGTCGTCGCGGTGGCGTTTTGCGGTTTTGGGGGTGACGTGGTAGAATGTGCGCGAGTTCACGAGGAGCCAGGCATGAAGGTAGGATTCGTATGTGAGTTTGTCGTCGCTGCCTTCTGGGTACTGGTACTGGTGCTGCTCGTCCTGGGGCAGGTCTGGGAGCGGGGTGGAGGAGACGAGGGACCAGTGGGATTCGAATTTCTCGCGCTGGGCTTTGAGGAGGGTGAGAGCTTGGGAGGGGAGGAGGGAGGAGAGGGTTGGCGAGGAGGAGGACCAGGTCAGCGGGCAGGAGGAGAGGTCTTTGGCTGTTGGGAAGACGGCGGACCAGGTTTTGAAGGAGGGGGAGGCGTCGAGGGCGATGTCTAGGGCCAGGAGGGCGTGGACGTGCGTTTCTTTTGGGAAGGGGCGGGTTAGGGATTTGGGGATTGTTGCGACTGTTTTTAGGCAAGGGATTGGGACGTCTAGGATTGTGTCGTCTTTCTGGGGTGGTGGTGGCGGTGGTGTTAGTGAGATGAAGGTAGATGGTGATGGTTGTGAGAAGTGTGAGAGCAGTGGCTTACTTTGAGGGGTGATGTCACGACGATTCCTATGCCTCTTCCTGGAAGGGCGCGGGGGCCGACGTTTGATACTGTTATTCCTTGGGTCTGGGCCCAGGATAAAAGGTTCTCGATTGCGTCCATTTGGCGTTTTGTTCAGAGCTCGGGATTGGATTAGATGGTAGAGGTTGAGGCAAAGGTAGTGGTATTTTAGAACAGTGATGAAAGCTCATGCAAGTATGACTTGACAAATGGGTAGTCAAATGCAGTCTCTGTGAGAGAAAGTTATAAAGGAGTAGTTGCCTTATGAGATGTAATCCTTTAGTCTTATACTGGCACGGTGAGCAGATCTCTCATTCGTAGAACGTCGACAGGTTTGAATGAGACTGAGATGCGTCAGTCCTGAAGGCCCAAATGCCGAGTATCTCTGCCTCTTAGAGAATTTGGAGTTGCACTCAAACCTTGTGAGTCCGAGAATAAGATTCGGTTGGCAGCAGAGTCTTGTTGTTGTGAAAGCTTCAAGATTGACAAGACGGAGGAAGTTGAGATGAATTTCACCTTAAAGCTACAGTGACGAATCAAATGCGCCGGGGTGCAATTCCAACGATCTGGAACGGCAGGCCCTGTCCTGCCACCAAAATGCTCACCTAAACCACTGCCGAAGAAAAGTACAGCAGCGGGCAGCTATTGCCAATGGGACAAGGTCGGCGCTAGTACCCACCGACTCCCCGATCCGACCTTACGGTACCCCTAGCTGTCCAAATTCTCGGGAGACCGTCGCTGAGGTGAGGTAATGGAGCTGCCCCAAGCTTCCAAAAAGTGTTCCGGTCATCGAACCACTTTCAACTCCGAATTGAGCACATAGCTCTCGACAGCCCCCAGCAACTCCCTCGTCCACAATCTTCAACCTCTCGACGACTTCCAACGGCATGCCACTAATCCAAAGACCATAAACCGAACAAAACAGCAAAATGAAAGCCCTCACAACCCTTCCCGCGGCTCAAACCCGCCGTGCCCTCCCCGCCATCTGCGCCGCCTGCACATCAACGACAGCTTCCTCCTCCTCTTCCACCCCCTCGCGCCGCCCCTTCTCCGTCCTGAACCGCCCACCGCCAAACTACCCAGGCCACGTCCCCCTCACCAAAATCGAGCGCGCCGCCCTTGGCCTCAGCGCAGGCATCTGGTCCCTCCTGAGCCCCTACCGAGGCGACCTCATCGCCGCCGTAGGCGAGACCACCGCGACGCCCTACTTCATTTACCGCCTCCGCGACGCCATGCTCGCCGACCCGACCGGCCGCCGCATCCTCCGCGACCGGCCGCGCATCACATCCACCTCGCTCAACCTGGCCCGCCTGCGCGCCATGCCGGACAACAGCGTCGGGCGCGCCTACGTCGCCTGGCTGGACGCCGAGGGCGTGAGCCCGGATACGAGGCCCGTGGTGCGGTATATCGACGACCCGGAGTGCGCGTACGTGATGCAGCGGTACCGCGAGTGTCACGACTTCTTCCACGCGCTGACGGGTCTGCCGATCGTGCGGGAGGGCGAGGTGGCGCTCAAGGCGTTCGAGTTTGCGAATACGTTGATCCCGATGACGGGGTTCGCGGTGCTGAGCTACGCGACTATGAAGGCTGGGGAGAGGAAGCGGTTCAGGGAGATTTATGGACCCTGGGCGGTGAAGAATGGGATGAAGGCGAAGGAGGTGATTAATGTCTACTGGGAGGAGCAGCTGGAGAGGGACGTGGATGAGTTGAGAGCCGAGTTGGGGATCGAGAGGCCGCCTAATATGAGGGAGATTCGGAAGCGGGAGAGGGAGGAGAGGAGGAGGGCGCAGGAGGCTTTGATGGGGGTTTGAGACGGTGTGTGTGTGTGTGTTGTGTATAGACTCGGGGTTTGTACAGATACTGTATAGTTTTTGTTTGATTTTTTTGGTAACCTTAGAGTCCTGGTGGAAATCCCACTCGGACGGAAGCCAATCTGCTACATTTTGCAGTCATGCTTTATTAACGCCCTCCAACGCCGGCATGTTGTCCCCTCCAGCAGATGTAGGTTCATAGTCTCCCCGCTCGACGATTCAAAATCGACGCGGTAAACATCATTGAGAGAGACCCCTACACACAGCGGAAAGAGCACGCATGCTTGATGAAACGAACCAACCATCACCCCAACCTCTCTCCCTCCCTCTCCCGTCTCTCTCTGCAGATTGCACCTACAAATCCAACAAATCATCATCGTCATCATCCCACCCCTTACGCCTGCTCACCACAATCTTCTCCTCCTCCTTGGTCCCCGCCACAGCCTCAAGCAGCTCCTTGAGCTGCGTCTCGGTAACTTTACTGCGCAGCTGCCCGCTCTGCGCCAGCATGATGAGCCTGTTCTCCACGTCCTGCGCGCGCTGCTCCTTGACGAGGCGGATGCGGCCCAGGCGGTCCGCCGCTTCCGGGTGGAGGATCTGGTTGAGGATTTGCTGGCGGGCTTCTTGTTCTTGTTGTCTGCGTGGACGCTGGGTTAGCTGATGTTTTATGTCTTTTTTTTTCTCTCACCATGGTGGGTGGAGGATAGAGGGGAGAGGGAGGTCGGGATGGTATGGGGAGTCGGTCGCGATTGTTGGAGATCTTCTCCAGATGCTTTGGGAATGGAGATTAGGGAACGAAAGACGACGTACTGGCGCTGTTCTTGCTGCTGCTGCTTGTTCGAGCCGCCGCCGCCGCCGCCGCCGGAGCTGCCTCCCGCGCCGCCTTGCGCCTTGAGCTGTTCGAGGCGGGCCTTGCGGATCTGTAGTCGCTTGCGTCAGTCCCAGGTGTTCAAACCCTGTGTCGAGAGAAAAGGTATGATTTGCGTACTTGTTCTAGTTCGGAGTCGTCCATGGTTGCGGGTATCTGGTTTGCGGGTTTGCGCGGAGTGGTTTGGTGGAGGTTAGGTTGTTTGGGTCAGAGAAACGCGGGGCTCTTTCTGATGTGCCTGACATCCAAGTTTTTGGCGGGGTTGGAGCTTGGGTCCTTTTGGCGCCTTACAAATTTCATGACGACGTGCGGTACCAAAGATTAACAACGTAAGCTAGCACAAGAGACCGAATCATCTCTCACTTTCTTTACTAATGGTTATGATATTCAAAATATGTGATGAGATATTTAAAATGTGTCTAGATTCTGTGCTTGAATGTAGTCATACAATGCTAAAACCGCCCATCAAGTAAAATACACACAGACGTCCAGTCGTACAGCCGTTGACCGCTTCATTCACCTCCTCGAGGTCAGCTCTAATGGCATGTACGACCGGTTCTTCTCTACTTGCGCCTTATGCTTTGCCTTCACCATACCCACGACCATCTCGTTCGCCGGCAGCTTCACGCCCAGCCTGCGGCCCCTCTCGATGAAGAAGCCGTTCAAATAGTCGATATCCGTCAACATGCCCCGCTGGATCTGCAACGCCATCTTACTCGGCGCGGACCCCTTCCCTCTAAGCTTCCCCATAATCTCCTTACGCATGCCCTCCCCCCGCAGGACGCTCTGCAGCTCGGGCGAGTTCTTGACCTCGGGCATGCGCGCGACCACGTCGGCGATCTCGTTTAAAAGCTGGTTGATGAGCTTGTTGGCCGTCGGGTTGTAGATGAGCTCATTGTAGCGGTAGTCCAGCATGACGCAGATGGGGTCGCAGACGGCCGAGAACATAAGCGACGGGATCTTGACCTTCATCCAACTATCGAGAGCGAGACCTTTCGCCTTGAGGAGGTCCGACGACGCAAACTGTTTCATCATCCCTTGCGTCCGCAGCCAGCTGTCTGTCGAGAGGTGCTTAGATTTCTTGGGACCGTAATAGGGTCGCACGCCGGCGAGCGCCGTCTCGTATTTGGGCGTCATCACCTTGACCGACTTTGCCTTTCGGTCAAATGCCAGGGAATGCGTCATGTGTCCGAGCATAATCGACGGGCGCTTATCTTTCTCCGGGAAGACTCGGTTGGTGGCCGCCTCCGCGACGCCGAGTCCGTCTTGAACGTAGCAGACGGCCGTCCGGTCGTCGATCCGGTGCTTGACCTTTTCGAGCAGCTTGATGCTCTCGCTCGGTCTCCCGGACACCACGAGGTTGCTGATATGTGTATCGTCCTTCTCCACTTCCGGTGACGTCTCTAATGCGGCATTCGGTTCGATCCAGCCTTTTGGATTCTTCCTGGTGCCTAGGTTTCCGGCAATGCCCCGATATGGTGTGTTGGCCGGTATGTCTAGCGTCTTGACCGAGTCGTAGATGCCGTGCAGAGCATGTGACAGAAATAGCGATCGCTCGTCGTTTCCGAGAACGTGAACCGTACGCGACGAAGGTGGCGGCGTCGAGTTGTGTCCCATCATGACGGCCGGCACGTAGAACCGTGACGTCGAATCCGCCCTGAAGATGGCGTATAGCTCCTTTTCGTTTTGCTCGGGCTGTAGACCCAGTACTTTATTGAATTTTTGTTTCGTCTGGACCGGTACACCCAGGGTTGTGCCTCCAGGAACCGTAGCTGCCATCTCTTTAGGTGCCACCCTTCCAGGGGCGATGCCCTGCGGCGGCGCTGCTCCCGTCCCGAGACCGAGTCTATTATCAATCGACACATATCTGATGGCTCCCCGGCCCGTAGAGGCGCTACCGGTCCTCCATATCGTATGTGTTTTGGGTATCCGCGCGGAGAGCCGCGGTCTCGGGAGGCTTGCCAGAGTGCCTGCCACGATGAAGGCTTCGAGGGTTCGGCGCAAATCACTGCGCAATGCTCATTAAGGGGAGGATTGAGGCGCGGTCTCAAGCGGTTATAGCTGTAACGACTCGATGATAGTGTACGTCGTCGTTGAAATTGTTGGGAATGGTGTTCGGGTATTACAGGCGTTCTTTTTCGTGGTTAATGAGCGTGTGGTCTTGTCTTTGTCGCAAGAAGGAGGCGTTGAGATGGGTGTGGATGACGGGGACACTCGTTAGGTTCTCTCTCAAAATTTGGCGCGTGGTAGGTGGTAGCCGTAGAATCCCGGCTGGCAGGAACCCGACCCACCGAGCTCGCGGCGATCCCTGCGCCCCGTTTGATACATGCAAATCCTTCAACGCCCGGATTTCTGAATTTTCAACGACTAGTCTCATCGATGAGAAGGAGCTAGCCACGGGCACTCACCTACATCCATCGTCTCCATCTCATTGTTACTTTTGACCAAGGGACTACATCCATTTTCCACCCCGTATTTATCAGCTTTGTTTCTGTGGGCCCAATAAAGATCAACCATCATGGCGCTCAAGGACATGACCTCCGACCTGAAGAAGCTCGATTCTCACATCGACTCTCTTGAGGATGCGCTCAAGCCCCTGATTGACAATCTTCCCGAGATGGCCAACGAGCTCCCCCTTCTCGACAAGGCCAAGATGTATGCTCTGACTGCCTACGCTATCGAGACTCTTCTCTTCTGTGAGTATCATTATACAGCAAACATATATCGTTGTGGTCGTCCCCCTGACTAACCGAAATGACAGCATCACTCCGTCTCCAAGGCGTCGACGCCAAGGACCACCAGGTCATGACAGAACTGAAGCGCGTGCAACAGTACTTTGGCAAGATCAAGGGTGCAGAGGAGACACCCGCGCAGCGCACAACGACGGTCAACACGGAAGCCGCGACGCGCATTCTGAAAGCGGACCTTGTAAGTCGCATTTGCGGGGGGAAGAAGGTCCGGACCTGAGCACACGAAACTGACCAACCGCCATAGGGAAGTAACGACCAGACGCTGAAGAAGAGGCTGGAGGAGAAGCTGGCCGAGGAGCGCGCCAAGGCGCTGCTCAACTCGATGCAGAAGACCAAGAGGCCGGCTCCCGAGTCGCCGTCCGCCAGCTCCTCTGGCCCGGAGAAGAAGCAGAGAAACTCAAGAAGGAAGAGCTCCAACAAGAACAAGTCTTGAGAGCGGATTTCCGTGAAGACCTTGATGGACGTCCATAATGCCGCTTCCAAAGAAAAGTCTTTGTTTGGCTGCCACAGGACATGGAGGAAGAATCGCCGAAACAGTCAGACGCCTCCGAGCCACGAGAGATGCTGCGAGTTTGAGGTGCGCATGGCTGTCTGACACCATGTTAGGCACATTGAAGATCACAGCCGACCTTACTGCACCCTAACGCGGAAGTAGGTCAACATTGGCTGGAGATTACCCTTACGGACTGGAGTGGTAGTATTATTTTGCGCACTGGGAGAAAGGATACCCCGGAGATAGAGATGAAGACCAAGTAATGAGCAAAGACTTTTCTATCCCTAGTCGTTATTGTCTAGATACCCTTATTTCATGTTTAGAAGTATGCCACTGCGTTGCCACTCAGACTGCCATATCCGCCCCCTTTACTACATATACCTTATCCTCCGCTACGCCCCAGCAAAATATCCACCTAACCAGAAAGGACCCCTTCCCCAATTCCTGACCACGACCAAATTCACCCTCCCCTGATTGGCCACACCTCGCCACCCACCCCCGGCCCGCCGAGCTTTGCAACTCACGCCGAAAGGCACCTCTACAGCTTTTGTCACCTTAACCCCGGGGCGCATAACTTCTGCCGACTTCCCTCCCCATCCACCCGGCATTTCTGCTCTCTTCAAAACACCACCCGCTCCTTCACCTCACGAAGTCACGATCAACGCTACCAAACACACCACCTCATCTCACCAGAGTCCTTCACACACACAAATCCTTCAAGATGCCTCGTCAACGCTCCGCCGGCCGCCCCAGCGCCCCCTCGCGCCCTACCGTCTCGGCCGCGAAGCCCGCTCCCACCCAGACTCGCCCGGCAACGACCATGGCCGCTCCCCCCCAACAGCACGCCGCTCCCCCGGCCGCGGCACCCGCTGCTCCCGCCGCCGCTGCGCCCTCCCAGGGCCCCGGCCTCTTTGGCCAGATGGCTAGCACCGCTGCGTACGTCCCCCGTCCCTACAAAAGACACCTACACCCGCAGAAGGAGACATCTAGGCTTTTCCCTAGCTCAAGAACCTCTCCCCTTTCTTCGACAATCATTCCCCTCAAAAAAGAAATCTCGAGAAAGAACCAGAAGCTAACTTAATTGTTCCCTCAACAGCGGTGTCGCAATCGGCTCATCCATTGGCCACGCCATCGGCGGCATGTTCGGCGGCGGCTCCTCCGCGCCCGCCGAGGCCGCGCCCCAGAACAACTCCCCCGTCGCCTCGGGCGAGTCCTCGACCACCCAGCAATGGGGCAACAACTGCGCCGGCGCCACCCAGCAGTTCACAAAGTGCATGGACGAGCAGGGCGGCAACATGCAGATCTGCAACTGGTACCTCGAGCAGCTCAAGGCCTGCCAGGCTGCTGCTAGCCAGTACTAGGACACCCAACAATCTCCACTCGTGAGAGAATGGGGGCTTGTAGCCACTGGCACGTGTTTGGAAAATTCAACTTTCTCGGCTGAAGGAGAGTCGGGGCGGTGATATGTGTAACCTAATAGTCAAAAACGGGAATGGGAGGGAAAGCAAAACAAAGGAGACAAAACTGGGCCTTGGAGCTTTCACGGAATTCATATAGCATTTTTTTGCATTGGCGGAAGCATTGAAAGATGGGCGGGCCATTGAGGAAGAACTACATCTCCCGACGGTGTACAATACATGACATTCCCACTCGTTAAACCACATTTGCGCTTCATCTAATGCGTTGTTGTGATGTTGAACATGTCTGTAATACAGCCCGGCTCCCTTACTCGTCCTTCTTCTCATCCGGCCGTGGTTCAAAGTTGAGCTATAGAGAAAGTCAGCACTCACCCAATACCCCAGCGTCATCTAACCCCTATTCTAGGAAAAGACAGCGAAAACTTACCGAGTTGCCATTGTAAAGCTGATGATCACCCCTCCGATCATCAGGGTTCGCAAACTGCGAAAACTTGCCCTTCCTCTGCTCCCTTACCGTAACCGGCTCCGCGCCCTGCTCCTCAGCCGCCGCCGCAGCCCGCTGCCTCGCCCCCAGCCCAGAAAACACACCAGAGACGAGTCCCCAAAGCCACTGCAGTAAACTCAACGGCAGTAAAAGAAACGTCACAGCCATCTCTCCAAACGACGATCCCCCAGCGTACGCACCAACGTGCGCGCCAACAGGCGCCAGCACGAGCGTCGAGGACGGCGACAGCCCCAGCTCCGCGAGACTCTTGCCCTCCTCCGTGTCGTCAATGAGCCTACTCGGCCGCGGCGCAAGCACAACTTTGAACCGGAACGGCTCCCCGTTGCTCCCGCTGCCTGTCAGCTCGCTCTCAACCCACTTGCGCACCTCCCCGCCAAGCGTCTTCCCGCTAGGAAACCGCGAGCGGATCGTCGACCCATCCAGAAGCCGAACCTGTAGCGCCGTCATCCCGCTCGCAGCCGAGCTCGACGGCGCAAGCGAACTCGACTCAGACCTCGTCAGCGCGGCCGCGACCTCGCCAAGCTTAGGCGACGCAGCCTGGGTCCTAAGCGCAGCGCGCTCCGCGGCTTTCGCCCTCCTCTCGGCGCGGTCGTCCTCAATCTTCCGCAGGATGCGCGCCTTTTCGTCGGCCGCCTCCTGGCGCGCCTTCTTCAGGGCCTCCTTGTGGTTGCGTGTCTGCTCAGCCTGCTTGGAGTTGTCCGTCTCGGCCTTCTCCGCCGCGGCGGCGCGGGCTGCTTTGGCCTTCTTTTCGGACTCGAGGCGCTGGGCTTCCAGGCGCGCACCGCGCTCTGCGAGGACGGCGCGGAGGGTGGCGGCGTTGTCTTCTTCTTGGGTCGGGGTGGCGCGGCCGCGCGGGCTGGGGGAGGAGGTGCCGGGCCTGGCGGGTTGCTGGTCCGTGGTGACGGGGGCGGCTGCAGCGCGGGGAGGGTTGTACGGGGTCTCGTCGTAGAGATCATCGGTGGATTGGGCGGCCGGCGCGGGAGCTGAAACTGGTGCTGGAGTAGCTGACGCGGGATGATCTGCTGCTGCTGCTGCTGGTTGACCCTGAGCGCCGCGGAATGCGGTTGTGACGCGTCTGACGAACTCATCCTTGCTGGTGCCGGCGACGATGTACTCCTTGAGGTCGCCGTTCTTGATCACGATGACGGTGGGTGTGTTGGGCAGGGGAAAGATGGCGGCCAGGTAGCCCGCCTCTTCCGATCCCTTCTTCAGGCGCAGCGCGACGGCTTCGTCTTGAAGTAAAGCCGCAATCTGGTCCAGTCATTAGCCCCTGAGCCAAGGTGTTTTTGTCTTGGGAAGCTCAGATACGTACCGAGCTCTCTGCCAGATACTCAGTCTCCCAAGTCTGGCTCTCGGCTTCCTCATCTGCGTCTCATTAGTGAAAAGTCCTATGGTATGAGCTATGAGAGGTAAGCTTACCTGTGACAAAGCAAAAGACGCATTTGCTCTGCTGCAGTGCAGTGGCAATCCCCTCTTGCAGACCTCCCGTGAAGAACATGATGATGGCGATGAGGATATATGTAGGTCTCCAATGATTGCTCTTTGGGTTGGGTCTAGGAAGTTTGTAAGTTTATGATCGAGTGTTGCTCTGAGAAGAAGAGGGATACGAACGCTGTGGAGCTCAATCTAGGACGATGCTGAACCTAGATCTGAAATAAACCCACCAAAGCTTTCAAGGTGTCAATTATAGCTCGCTCCTGTATTCTTCACAGCTGCACTTCGTTTCGATACTGAGCGATATAGTCTTGTCGTCTGATGAATATCCGAGAGCTCAAAGATGACGAAGGAACAAGTGTCGTTCATGTTGCTGCGAACGGCGCCAGGGGACCTTGCCTTAGTCCAATGTATCCCTCTCTTCCGGGGGCGAATAGTGAGCCACCCTATTGGCGCCGCCCCCACCTTTTCCATGCCACTCCACACTGAGGTACGTCCCATTGCTTCTGCAGCTTTTAGAGCTCCCCAGCTCATCCGTTTTGGATTTCCCACTGCTCAGGTACCCTAGAACGGGCCGGCGGGACCCCAAAAAACCGAAATATCCTGACCTCATCATCCGTGCCGGTAAGCTCCCAGTTGAGAAAGTCTACCACCCACATCACCACCGGGGAAACCACCAATACAACAGCCCCGACCTCTCACAATGCCGCCTCCTTTACCAAGAGCGCTCTTCCGGGCCCCAGGCCCCGCGGCGCAAACCTGTCTACGCTCAATCGCCCGCCCAAGAACTTTCCCTTCAGCGCAATCACCACCATCATCAGCATCATCACCACGCGCACCAACAACCCGCAAATTCCACACCACCCCCCGCGCCCACGCCTCCGAACCGGCCCCAGAGTTCCACTCCATAGTCGACAACCCCCCCGAGCTCGTCCGCGCAGGAAACCGCCACGGCCCAGGCCTCATCATCCTCGCCCTGATCCCCATCACAGCCTTCGCCCTCGGCACATGGCAAGTCCAGCGCCTCGGCTGGAAGACGGACCTCATTGCCAAATTCGAAGACCGCCTCGTCCGCGACCCCCTCCCGCTCCCGCCCAAGATCGACCCGGACGCCGTCGCGGACTTTGACTACCGCCGCGTCTACGCCACGGGCCACTTCCGCCACGATAAGGAGATGCTCATCGGCCCGCGCATGTGGGAGGGCGAGCAGGGGTACATGGTCGTGACGCCGCTCGAGAGGGAGGGGGAGGGCACGACGGTCCTGGTGAATCGCGGGTGGATTAGCAAGGAGATGGCGGATCAGCGGCGGAGGCCCGGCGCGCTGCCGAGGGGGGAGGTCACGGTCGAAGGGTTGCTGCGGGAGCCGTGGAAGAAGAACATGTTCACGCCCGACAATAGACCTGATCGCTGGGAGTTTTTCTTCCCTGACGTGCACCAGATGGCGCAGCTGACGGGCAGTCAGCCTGTTTGGATTGAGGCTACTATAGGTATGTCGTGGCCGACTTCCTTTTTGGAGGTTCCTTTCGGGGCTTTGCTACGAGATACAAAGCTCATACTGACATTCCTCGCAGAGCACGAGTTCTTCCGCATCGTGGACCTCAAGTCCAAGGGTATCCCTATTGGAAGAGCCGCGGAGGTGAACCTGCGGAATAACCATGCCCAGTATATCTTCACATGGTACGTCCAACCAGTCCCTGATTCATACATCATTTGTCCACCCTCCTTGCACCGTCTGTCACAATCGGTACTAACATCCGATAAACAGGTACGGTCTTGCATTCGCCACCTCAATCATGTTGTGGATGGTCGTAAAGAAGCCGCCAACCGACACCGCTCGAAAGGTGCGCATGAATAAGCATTGGTAAGGACTTGTTCGATTTTTCCTTTTCAGGGAGGAATCAACATCGCAGTCGTAATGGGAGCAAGTCAGACTTCTCAAGTCACTTCCTCCTGTCCGCCGTCGGTCACGCGGCGGCGCTTCTTCCTCGGCTCTGCCGGTGGCAGCGGCTTGGGCATCCTCAACTCTTGTAACAGCTCCCGGGGCAGGTGTCTGTGTGCCAGTGAAAAGGGGGTCGTCGTCGAGCTGGTCTGGCGTTGTCTGTAAGGATATTAGACACCATTGTATTTGTACCAAAAGAACAAAAAGCTTGTGGATATGAAAGGGGAACCCCTCAAAAACTTGTCGATACCCCTAGTTTGGATCTTGCACAATACGAACAGTGAAAATTTCATCAAAAAAGACATACCTTCGCATAAGAGTGAGCATATCACTCTCATCAATAGTCTTGCGCTTGGCGTGCTTCGCATACGCAGACAAATCGTCGCCCAGCTGCTCAAAAAACCAGTCCGACGCCCTCTGAATCTCAGCCAGCGTGTCCGGGCTAATCTTGGTCTTGCTGATGCCGCTCGACTTGGCAAAGGTGTTGGCCAGCCGCTTCACCACCGCGGGCGGCAGGGACGGGTACTCCACGTTATACTTTGACAGCTTCACGCCGCGCTTCGTCTTGCGCGGCCTCTGTCCTTGCTCCTGTTCCAGCTGCGCGACGCTCAACTCCGTCTGTCCGTCCAATTCTCCTTGCGTCGTCTCGTGGGGTTCGATGGGCGTCGAGCTGCGCATGTCGTAGTACGAGTTTCCGAAACCTAAGCCCTCGTCCAGCGGGGCCGCAGGTTCGTCGTCTACCGGCGCGATATTGAGCGACGGCTGTTCGTCTGTGATTTCGGGCAGCGGTCGTGCGGGTGAGCTCTGTCCGTCCACCGCCATCATGAACGTCGTCTGGTTATCCGCGTCAACGGGCACCTCGAACCCGAAATCGCTATCCCGCGCCGAAGCCAAAGTCTGCCGCCTCAAGTCTTCCTCCTCGACTCTATTTTTTACCCCCCGTCAGTAATGAGACTCACCAACGCTCACGTGGAAAAATTCTCTGCCGCAAAAACTCACCTGTCCAACGTATCCTCCGGCTCCCTCCCCTCCTCATCCAACGCCCCGACCTCAAACGCAGGAAAGAACCCTTCCCCGCGATCATCATCGTCGTCGTCGTCGAGGTCCCCGTAATTCCTAAACTCGCTCAACCGCGCGCTCCCCATCGACATGCGCGACGGCTGATCCACATACGCCCGCCGCGGGAACTCAATCGTCGCATTCTCATCAATCTGCGACAACTCAGGCGCAACAAGCTCGTCCTCGTCGTCGTCCTCGACGTCGAGCGGTAACGACAACCGCGGCCTATCGATCGGAAGCTCGTCATCGTCGTCGTCGTCATCGTACATCGTACCCCTCCGATTCACCGTCCGTATCGGCAGACTCGCGCTCGGCCCTGCCGCTCTGGTTCCCACGTCGCTGGGCGACGAGGACGACGAGATGGGCTGCGTGGTGTGCTTTACCACGCGACTCAAACCGCGCAGGACATCGTGCAGCGACTCCCTCCGCGGCCGGAAGCTCTCGCGGCGTTTGTTCCCGCCGGGTGTCAGCGCGGCGGCGCGGCGCTGGTCGATTGTGCGGTAGGCTGCGCGGGCGTGGGGTGTCGCGGCGAGGGAGCGGCGGCCCGAGGCGGAGAGGCCGCGGTAGCCGCCGGCTGAGCTGCGTAGGGAGGAGCGCAGTGGGTTGCTGTTGTTGTTGGAGGGCGTGCGTGGGAGGAGGGAAGCGCGACTGGAAGGAGGGTCGAGGCTGAGGGCGCGGCGGTTCGGGGTTACGGTGTCGAGGGCGGAGGAGAAGAGGGGGTCGTCGTCTTCTGCGCCGGCGGCTGCTGCGAGGCGCGGGTTGAGGGGGGTTGTGAATGTTGGTGAGGAGGACATGGTTGGTTTTGGTTTGCGACGAGGTCGCTGTGCGCCGGTGTGGTGTTGGTGGTGGTGGTATTGTTTGTGCTCTCGGCGAGCGCAGGGTGTTAATATGGATCAGTGTTGGGAGGACTTCGTGATGTTTGGGACGCGGTCGTCCTGTCGCAAGACAATTAGGTCACTGGACGGGCTTGCAGTATGCCGACGTCAATCTTTCGCAAAAGGCGATCGGAAGCGACAATCGGTGGTGTGGAGTTTGTCGACGGTAGTATGTGGTGGGCGCGGCGTCAAGGTGCCCCCCGCTGTCTCGGAGCTTTACCTTGAGAAGACGCGACTCTCGACGCGCCTGCTAAGATGCGGCGGATGTCATCAAAAAGGCAGATTGGCGCACAGACCATCTTCAGATGTCCGGTATATCGGCCCCACTTCGCCGGTTCTTCAACGGGACGCGGGGGTTCCTACAGCTAGCTACCTTACACTGTCAGTAAGAAGACGGCTCCAAATTGACCTGATTCACGAGTCCTACCACTCGAAATTTTCAGAACAAACATCCATTTGTTATAGGTCATTTCTACGCGAGCGAAATCTCAAGTCGGGCCAACTGCTTCTCTTGGTGCGCTCTCGTACTGGCTTTTGGTCTCTGAGGTAAGGCATACAAGGCAAATTCCACCCCCAAGAGCCCATGATCACCACGGCGCCTGCGTGCGAGGGTCGGCTTTGACTATGGAGCAACGGCCTCAAGCAGCAGCTCTCGCTTCTCTCTTCTCACGGCTTCTCGTATGAGATGGTTCCGCTGACGCTTGGTCCCTGGGCAGATATCGCGTTCAACTATCTTAGCTCAGTTAACAGTTCTCCTCCTCCTCCTCCCCTCGGCTTCTCTATTATTCATAGCTTCCTCGATGAATAATATCGGGATAAGTCTTACTGGAAGGTAACATGCGCGCCCATGCGCACCCATGCACACCCCTTTTGAAATATTGAACACCCTCTTTCCTTGAAGAAAAAGCTTAGGGTAGTTTCATCATCACTGGGATGCCGAGTTGCAATGGCGGCGGGAGCTAGAGTCAGAACCTGGAACTATCTCTTCCCTTCTTATTAGGATCGACATTAGGTACAAGACGACACGGCAGGAAATCGTTCATTCACATCAAGGCACTTGCTTGGGTGGGAATAGGAAGTTTCCATCAGCAAAGTAGGGAGATAATATATAGGAGTCATTGAATATGAGATACTTGTGCCAGGGACGTTGTGCGATGACAGGTCTCTAATCGAAATGAGCAACTTGAGTAT